TCAGTGGCATATAATTCTAGCAGGTGAAAGTCCCTAAGGTCAACTCCCAGTAAAAGTTATCAATGAAGTTAATCAGGGAAAGGTGAGACCCTGCCTAAAATAAACAAATATTTTTTTTTTAAGAAAGAAGAATGCTGTCCTTGCAAAGGACTCAGTTCCAAATTCAGTTCCCAGCATCCACATCAAGTAACTGCCTGTAACTTAAGCTCCTGAGAATATGACATTTCTGATCTCTGAGAGGTGCACCTGAAATCACATGCAAAAAAATAATTTTTTTTTCTTTGTCTGAGACAGGGTTCTTTTTCTGTCCAAAACTCGATTTTGTAGGCTGGCCTTGAACTCACAGAGATCTGCCTGCCTCTGCCTCCCCAAATGCTGGGATTAAAGGAGTGGGCCAGCAAGCCTGGTTTAAAAAAAATTAAGTTGTAAAGATGGCTTGATAGTATAGGCCTGTAATTCTAGCTTCTCAATGCAGTGAGTGAAGCTATAAACATACTCCTGGTTTGTCAACTGATGTGTCAATTTTGCAATTCCCCGTTTACTTTCTTTCTTTCTTTAAACATAATTCTTTATTGATTCTTTGGGAATTTCACATCATGTATGCAAATCCTGCTCACCTCCTAGTCTCTCCATACCTGCCCTTCACCCCTGCAGCATGCCCCCTCAAATTAATTATAAACAAAACCAACCAGCCAATTCACCAACCAACCAGCCTACCAACCAACCAACCAAAGACCACTTTGCTCTTCTGTCTTTCCAACACCTCTCCATTCATCCTAGTGGCACCCAGAGCTGCAGTGTGACACACATATATACCCTCTTGTCCAATCAGCCCCACCCAAAAACTGTTCATTGCAGTGAGTCATTGGTCTGGTTCAAGGCCACTGGCAGATTATCACCATCACTGGACTCTCACCAAAACTCCTCTCTGACATCCTGCTGTTACCTTGAGTCATGTAGATCCTGCAGTTACTCTGTAGGACCCGTCTGTCCCTTCACGAGCTCCAACAGGTCATAGATGGGGTAGATGTTAGGATGGGCCAACCCAAGACCCAAGATGTGGGTCATGTGATACCTGAGCTGGGAGCCACTTGGGGCAGGGGCAGCTTTTTTAGGTCCATGCCATCCTGACTAGCTCTCCCAGACCTGTGGTGAGGGGTGGTGTCATCTCTCCCAAGTGTGGGGATCTCCCATGAGGGGCAAAACCAGCTCTCCTGATGCAGTGAGGGGCAGGGCCAGCTATTCTAGGGCCATGAGAGTCTGGACCAGCTCAACATGGACCTCAGATTTCAACACTGAATGGCTCCTATGGCCCTGTGGTAACTGAGACCAGATCCTCACTCAGCCCCCTGCTTTAACAGCCTTGACAGGCTACAGAAAAGACATGTAGGCCTCTGACTCAGCACATGACACAAAGAAACTCTAGATCCTCTGGCCTTTGGGAGCCTAGGTCCAAAACTGAACACAAAGAAACTCCAGAACGCCCCCCCCCCCAGCCTCCTAGATACTTGGATCCTGGGAACTGTTTGGCCACAAAAGAAACTCCAGGGGAGACCAAAACCTCTCCTGTAGTCTCCAGGATACAATTCTGAAAATTATTGGTATCTATGAATAACAGGCCACCTACAAGTAACAAGACAAAGCCATAGAAACCACAGAATGTCCCCTCTCAGCACTGACCAATGAGAATAATTGGTGCACAGGTATTTCATGTCAAAATATGACTTTGAGGAATTCCCCTGATTGTTCCCCAAATGTCAACCAATCAGAAACCAACCCATACCTACTAATGTAATCCTATGGTTTTTGCCTTTAAAAACCTGACAGTAGACAGGGAACTTGTTTTCTCTGGTGGCTGCTGCATCAGCCAGCAAGATGATGTCCCTGTCATGGTTGGATGAACAATAAACCCTATGCATTTGCATCAGTGGGTATGTCTCTGATGTCTTTGGGGCTCTTCATGACTTGAGCACAACAGTAACATGGGCCCTGGACATTATCACAGATCCCAGCTACAGCAGAAACACAGACCCAGACATGCCCTCAGCAGCAGCCAGGACCAGAAGACACCATTGCCCCATCTGGCAGCTCAGGTTACCCAGATCAGCATGGTCCCAGTGGTTGTACAGCCATGCATGTTTCGGTCTAGACTATGGACATCCATGGGGCTTTTGGAGATACCATGAGCCATGGACATCAACGTAGAACCCAGCTGTGGTAGGACCATAGATCCAGACATGGTCCTCAGTAGCAGCCTGGGCTTGGCTGTCACCATGGCCCCAGATGACAGCATAGGCCACTCAGATTGGCATGGCCTCCCATGGCAGCATGGCTTTTGGACACCAACATGGTCCCAGGTGTCGGCCCAGATCCCTATCATTGGTATTGCGTTGGCTGTTATCGGGAGTCACGGACATCAACACAGACCCTGACTGTGGCAGGATCACAGATCCAGATATGCTCCTCAGCAGCAGCCCTGGACTGGACTACACCAGGGCTCCACATGGCAGCCTAGGCCATTCAGATTGGTGTGGCCCTGGTGGCAGCATGACCCTCTGGCGCCAACCTGGTCAGAGGTTCCCGCTTACCTTCTTAATTGGTTACTCAATGGCATTTATTTACATGATTTGTATTTCTGAATACTGATCTTGGGAGAAACTGAATAAAACACAAATTGTTCATCAGTATGATGACAATTCCAGAGCAACCCTTATTTTTTGAGGACTATTTTCTAGCTCTTTCTATAAGCGAGAACAAAAACAGTTTTTGTTTGTTTGTTTTTTGGAGGCAGGGTCTCTCTGTGTAACAGCCCTGGCCATCCTGGAACTCACTCTGTAGACAAGGCTGGCCTTGAATTCACAGAGATCTACCTGCCTCTGCCTCCTGAGTGCTGGAATTAAAAGAGTGTGACACCATGTCTGACAAAAAAAAAAAAAAAAAAAAAAAAAAAAAAGAAATCATCCTGTTGCTTTATTTTGTTTTGTTTTGTGTTTTCTTTGTGTAACAGTCCTGGCTATCCTGAAGACCTGGCTGTCCTCAACTCACAGAGATCTGCCTGCCGCTGCCTCCCTTGTGCTGGGATTAAAGATGTGCCACCACCGCCCTAGAAAAATGTTTTAAGGAAAAACAGTTAAGAGGGCTTTTGGTGTACCTCAGGCTGGCCTGGAATGTAACTTTTCTTTCTTTTCATTAATTATGTTTTATTTTTAAAGTGTGTGTGTGTGTGTGTGTGTGTGTGTGTATGTGTTTTGTGTGTGTGTATGTGTTTGTGTGTATACAAGTGCCTACCCACCCCAGAGGCATGGGATCTTCTTGGAGTTGAAGTGATGGGTGGTTGAGAACCACCTGACAAATTGGGAATTGAACTTGGGTTCACTAGAAGAGCAACAAAGGCTCTTAAACACGGAGCCATATTTCCAGCCCAGATTTTCTATTTTTCTCCTTTATTTTTTGAGATAGCATCTCTATATATATTGCAGGAACTGAGTATGTAGATCAGGCTGGCCTTGAACTCAATAGAGACCCTCGTTCCTGAGTGCTGGGGTTAAAGGCATACACCACCATGCTGAGCTTCTTCTCTAAACAATATTGCATTAGTTTATGTGTTTGGTGTTTGAGTGTTTTGCCTGAAGGTATGTCTGAGCATCACATATATGCCTGGCACCAGTAGAGACCAGAAGAAGCTGTTGGATCCCCTGGAGTTGGAATTACAGCGCAGTGAGCTGCCATGTAGGTTCTGGGAATCAAGCTCTGGTCCTCTGGAAAAGCTGTGTTTGTAATCATTGAGCTATTTTTCCAGCTGTATACCCCAAGTTCTGGGGTATAAGAAGCTATGGGCAGTATTCAGTTAGGTTTGTGGTGATGCTCTGGTGAGTCTTGGCATTTTTTTTTTTTTTTTTAATTCTGTGGCGAGAATACAGTAATTGTAGGTAGCTTGGCAACAGAAAGATTTGAAGTTCCCCCATGACAGCGCCCCTTACCAGCAGGAAATAGTTTGGAAAGAACGACGCCCAAATTCCCAAATATTGTCTATAAATGTTTGTTTTCATTTAAATGGACTTGGTTATATAAAATAAATAATAATAAAAAAAGATTTGAAGTTAAACACAAGAAACACATCCTGCTGTCTGGTTTGAGATCCATAGTAACAACACCCTTAAGTGCTTCTTTGTGGGGTTAGAGTCTAATGGCGTGGGACTAGTTTTGAAAGTTAGCAGTAGGGCTGAAGAGATGGCTCAGCTTTTGAGAGCACTTGCTGTTGCTATTTTTGCAAAGGACCAAGATTTGGTTCTTAGCACCCACAAGGTGGCGCACAACTGCTTATAACTCCAGTTCCAGAGGCTCTAACGCCCTCTTATGGCTTCCACGTGCACCAGGTGTGCAGACAAATGTAGATAAAACATGCATACACTTTTTTTTTTTTTTTTTTTCCCAGTCAGTGTCTTACTGTATATTTCCCAGCTGGCTTGGAACTCCCTGTGCAGACCAGGCTACCCTCAAACTCGCAGAGGGTAGCCAGTCTGCCTCTGTGTCCCGAGTGCTAAACCTAAACGCTTGTGCCACCAGGCGTGTCCCACTCACACACATTAAAAGGGAAAAGTATCCAGCTTTCTTGACAACCAAGCCGTCTCTAGTCCCTCCATAGTTCTTTTATTAAAGGCCCAACCAGTGGGTTGACTATTCAGTCACTGTTGTTCACCAGATTTTATTCACACTTTTTAAATGATGGATAATTCATACTACTATTACTATTATGAAAGTTCCCTTCCTACTGCGGAAGAAATTCTCTTATTTACATTCGGGTCTCTCTTTGAACCCCTTGTTGATGGTGATGGAGTTGGTCTCATCCACCACCTTGAACTACAACTTCCATGAAACAACCGGCAAAGTCTGCGTGATCTGACGGGAACCTCAACCAATCCAATGCCAGGACTCTCAGTCAGCAACCTATTGGCTCTTGGTAGAGGCGGGACTCCCAGTTGCTAGGCTGGTGCCTTTCCGGAAGTGGTTGCCGGTCGCTGCAGGGCAACACCCCGGCGTCCCTGGAAGCGGGGAGCCAGGCACCCCGGTGTCCCTGGAAGTGGGGGGGCCGGGGTGGTGCTGGGTTGGCGGCACCGAGCCATCGTCCCGGGAACCCCGGGGTGGGGACAGGTGAGACATCGGAGCCCGGCTTGCTGGCGTGGCGGGCTTGGAGTTTGCAGCGCTGCGAAGTGGTGTTGAGAGGGAACTGAGGTGGGAGAGGAGAGCCCTCGGGCGCGCGCGGCCTGGTTTTCTAACTTCTCCTGAATCTACTACCCTCTTCCCCACTCCACCCCGCTTCTCCCTCGTAACCCACTCCTGGGCTATTCCAAGCTCAACCAAACTCTTGGTATCTTTTGGCCAGCTGGGCAAGAGAGGGAGGTTTTGAGTTTTCTTTGCACTGATTTAGAAATCTACTCCTGGAACCGCTGCCCTCTTGGCCTGGGTGACTCGCTCAGCCCTCTGCAGGCCCTTGCTTGCTTCTCATCTGACTTCAGCTCTGGGGATTGTGCTCAAGAGTTTTAGTTATCGGCTGCTCAGCCAAGTACTTGCTGCCCGGCCTGATCCCTCCGTCTCGAGCTCAGATCTGCTTATGGATCATCTCCAACCTTCCCCGGACTCCAGATCAAAATCTGTCGAGTGTTTCTTGTCTCAGTGGAGAACTTCCCCCGTTTAGCCCAGTCTACACTGGAAATTCATTCTAGTGTCTGCAGCACACATCTGTTTGGCATGTATCCGGTTCTAGGCAGTTTGCTGTGGGGTTGCTTCATGGCCAAGGCCCGAAATCACAACGCACAGCTGAAATCCTCTTTGCTTTCTCTCGACTCTCCCTTCACCTAGACTGTAAGACCCGTTATTCTGCATTCTCCTATCCTCCCGACTGTTCCTTTTTTTTTTTTTTTTTTTTTTTTTTTTTCAGGTAGCCACAGCCTTGGTTCATAATTTCTCGTTTAGGCTTTCAGAATAACGGCTTCTGTTCTTGCTTCTCTCTGATTAAGTCCTTGGCAGATGTTGGTCACCTACCTCAACTGCAAATCTCATCACTTTGGTCTCCTTTATGAAATTCCTCTGACAGCTCCTTATGAAGTCTGCATACGGCTTCAGCCCTCCCAAGCCCATAGTAGCTGCTCCTTGCCTTCCATTCTAGCAGTCTCTTTATTTGAAAAGTGGGGATAGTAGCCTTTATCTAGCTGAGAGGGTGGGGTGAGATGATAGACATAACATCCTTAGTACAGTCCCTACAACATAGAAATATGCGGTTAGTCTAAACTTTGGTTGTCATAATTAATCCTGACCCTTCCAAGCATATGTGCCCTCCCCCATATATATATATATATGTATGTATATATATATATGTATATGTATATATGTATATATTTGTATATATGTGTATATATATATATATATATGGTTGTCATTTCGTAGTACTAGGGATTGAACTCAGGGCTTTGCACATGCTGGGCAAGCACTCTATAGCCCTAGTCTCCACCCCTTCTCTCCAAGCCTCTTTGCTTTTGTTCATGGTGCTCTTTCTGCTTTAAGTTTCCTTGCTTTGAGGGCTGGCGAGAAAGCTCAGATGTTGAAGTTCTTCCTCTGTAAGCATGAGAACTTGAGTTCAGTCCCTTGTAAAAAGTCAGGCATGGTGGTTCATGCTTGTAACCTCAGTGCTGGACACATAGAAAAGGTGGACCCCTGGGACCAGAGTTAGAGGTGGTTGTGAGCTGGGACTGGGATTTCGGTCCCCTGGAAGGGGACCAAGTGCTCTTAGCTGCTTGGTGGTTCCCCTGCTGCAGGGCTTGTGTGTATGCTGCTACTTCTATCGCCAGTACTACTTGTTTCCTTCTCTGTCAGTAAATACCCGTTCCTCCTCCAGGTCTCAGCATAGGCACCTTTAATCAGGCTCAGGCTTACGCTCATATCTTACTCCATGTGAAATGACACTTTTATGTTTTCTTTGTGTGTGTGTGTGTGTGTGTGTAACTTGAAGTGTATTCTTTTTCCCCTTCCACCACGTGGGCTTGGGGAGTGAGCATAGGCTGTTAGGCTTGGTGGCAAGTACAGTGAGTCATCTTGCCAGCCTCCTCCCCCATCCTTTTTCCTTTTCTTCCCTTCTGTTTCCTTCCCTTTCCCTCCCTTCCCCTCCGTTCCTCCTTTCCCTTCCCTTCTCCCCTCCCATCCCCTCCCTGCCTCTCCCTCATCCTCCTCCCCCTTCCCTTCTTTCTTTCTTTCTTGAGACAGGGCCTTAAATAGCCTTGGCTGTCCTTGAACTCCTGTAGTTGAGGATGAACCTTGCATTTGGGAATCTGTTCACACCTCCTTGTGCTGAGATGATGGGCGTGCTTGCCTCTCCAAGTCTACTTTAGTACTGATACTCTTATCTGGGACTGTCTAGCTAAGCAGTAGTAGCTCTGGGGAGTGGTGACTGAATCTGTTTAATACCATTGCACGTCTAGTGCCTAGAGGGAAACTTGATAGGTGCTCAACAGACATTTTTTTCCATCTCACGAGTGACCTCCATGAACTGTCAGTGAGGTATGAGCTCTGTCTGCACACTTTTCCTGCCTTGCTTCATGTTGCCCTCTTGCTTGGCCTCTCCTTGCCACATTTCTCTGAAGCCAGGAAAGGTATAGGATAGCCAAACATAATTTATTTGTTTTTCTGGCAGAAGAGTTCTCTGAAATTTGGAAAATCCATGAGTCTAGATTTTTCAATTTCTTCTCCTGTAAGTAATTAAATATAGATACTTTTGTTAATAGGCAGGTGTCCTGGTTTGTTTTTATTGCTGTGAAAAATACCATGACCAAAGCAATTTGGGGAGAAAAGGATTTATTTTGTCTTACAGCCTATAGTGCATCGTGAAGGAATGTCAGGGGAGGAACTCAAGCAGGAATAGAGGCAGGAGCCATGGAAGAACAATGCTTGTTTTACTGGTTCACTCTTCAAGGCTTGATCAGCTACTGGTGTTTCCCCCCCCCCCCCCCCATAGGGTCTCTCTATGTAGCCCTGGTCTTTGTAGCCCTGGCTGTTCTGAAACACTCTGTAGATCTGGCTTTGCCTGCCTGTGCCTCTCTATTGCTGATACTAGAGGCACACACCACTACTCCTGGAGGCTGGAGGTCACAGATAAGATACTCTTTAATTCCTGCCTTGTGCATTGCTACCATCCTGCTTTGTCTTCATCTGATGGAGTGAGGATTTTGATTTCTCTTCCTTTGCTTAGAAGGACATTAATTCTGTCAGGTCAGGGGCCCACTCTTATGATCTCACCTAATGTTGATTATGTCTTGAAGACCCTACCTCTTATAAAGTCAGATCATAAGTGTTTTGGAAGGACACAGCCCCCTCCATTGGGACCCCTCTCTTCCCTCCCTCCTCCGTGCTCCTAACAAGCCCTGTCTTTGTCCCTTTCCCATCTCTGCTTCTTCTGCCCTAATTTAAGACCTCACTAACTTTCACTGGGACAGAAGTCTTCTCAAATGCCTTTCTTGACACCTGTTTCTTATTTCTCCAATTCAGCCATGCCAGTCTTCCCAGAGTTCCTGTGCTAAATAAAAGGCCACCCTTCCCAAAGCCCTCAGTGAGGTCCCCTTAGTACAGGGAATGAGACTTTCCATGTCCAGCCCCAGCCATACGTGCTGTGGTTCCATGCCCTATGACACCTGCAAGATTCACCCGTTGCTCCTTGTCCAGAGTGCTTTCTTCAGCCTTCAGTGGGAACTGTCCTCTTCTTAGTGCTCTCAGAGCAGGTGTGGAGGTGGCATTGGCTCCTGGACCTAAATAGCATGCACCGGGGGCACTATAATGGCCTCTCTGTGCCCTGGGGTGTGCTGACACACCGGAGGGTCTGTGTTTTTGGTGTCACTGGGGTTTTCTGGCTGAGGTATACTACAGTTTGGGGTATTTTCCTGTTTGGGAGGGATACAAAGTTAAGCTCTTTAAAGGTGTAGTTTTGTTTTATGTATATGAATGTTTGTCTGTATTTATGTGTGTGCACCATGTGTGTCCCTGATGCAGGCAGAGGCCAGAAGATGGTGTCAGATCCCTTGGCACTGGAGTTATAGAAGGTTGTGAGCCACAACATGGGTGCTGGGGAATTGAACCCAGGTCTTTTGAAAAAGTAGCCAATGCTTTTAACCACTGAACTATCTCTCCAGTTCAAGGTAAACACGATAGAGAGACAATCTTGAAGATCTATTGTGGTAGGTACACTGAGAGTGTGTTCTCTAACCTTGGGCAAGCCAGGGAACTTACCCAGGCACAGAGTCTGTGAAGCTTGGAGCTGCAGGCAGGCTCCCCAGCCATGCTGATCTGCAGCCAGGATCCCTGGCCATGCTGGTCTGCAGGATCTGATGTGACACAGATTCTCTATGACCCAACTCAACATTTCCCTTCCAGGCCAGCTCACTAATTTTCTCTTTGGACAGGGTCTTTGGGATCTAGATAGTTCTGCCAGGCTGAATCATGGCTAGACGACCCATCCTCTTAGGTGACCAGCTGGTTCTGGAGGAAGATTCTGATGAGACCTACATCCCCAGTGAGCAAGGTAAGAGGCTTGTGGTAGATTGTAATTGTCCTTTGAGGACAGATATTATTTTTGATTTACTTAAACAAAATTTTTAAAAATTAATTTACGTGTGTGGGTGATTTGGTTGCCATGTACATGTATATTACATGTGTACAATGCCTGCAGAGGTCAGAAGATGGCATCAGATACCCTGAAACTGGAGTTACAGATGGTTGTGAGACACCATATAGGTGCTGGGAATTGAACCTGGGTCCTCTAAAAGAGCAGCCAGTGCTCTTAAGCACTAAGTCCAACCCCCTGATTTGCTTTTGTTCTTCCAATACAGTGTTAGTTCAGGCACAGTACTACTGCTCAGTGTACTTGAGTTAGATCAGAGGTTGGCAAACTACAGCCTTTGGGCTCAAGTTGGCACCTAGCCTGTTTTTTGTCAATAAAAACTTATCAGAAGACAGCCAGCCATGCTTATTTCTGTGTCCTCTGTGATTGTCACCATGCTGTAATAACAGTGTCAAATAATTGTGACAAAGTGGGGCATTGGTGGCTGGGCTTTTAATCTCAGCACTCAGGAGGCAGATCTCTGTGGGTTTGAGGCTAGCCTGGTCTACAGAGAGAATTCCAGGACAAGTTCCAAAGCTACACAGACAGATTCTGTCTCGAAAAACAAAACAAAAAACAAATCAAACCAAACAAAAAACCAAACCAAACCAAACAAAAAACAAACAAACAAACAAACAAAAAACCCAAAGTAATTATGACAGATTTATGCCCTCCAAAGCTTACAGTATGTATTATCCAGCCCTTTACAGAAAATGTTTACTGGCCCTCTAGAACATGAGATTGCAGTGTAACAGATATTGTGAAATATCACATGTAAATCCAATTTTTTAGAACAAGCTAAGGCTGGCATGTTGGCATTCCCTGTAATCCTAGCATTTAAGGGGCTGAAGCAGGAGGATTGCTACAGGTTAAAGGCCAAGAATACAGAATGAGTTTGAGGCCAGCCAGCGCTTCATAGTCTCAAAAACAACAACAGAACAACAAGGTTGTAGCTCAGTTGGTAGAGCGCTTGTCTAGCATGCATTAAGCTCCAGGCTCAGTCCTAGCATCTCATAAATTCAGGTGTGGAGGTGCAGCTCTTAGGAAGTGTGTGTGTGTGTGTGTGTGTGTGTGTGTGTGTGTGTGTGTGTGTGCGCGCGCGTGCGTGCGTGTATGTGTGCGTGAGTGGGACAGCAAGGGGAATCTGCAGTTTGTTGCCATGTCACTAGGCAGTGAGTTTAAGGTCCTTTCTTAAAATAAAAACAACAAAAAGAAAAAAAAGTAGCATTATGTATTTATATTACTTTGTTCTAGTCTCTGCTTTAAAATTTTAGTATCAATTTTCCTTTCAAACCAAGCTGAGTATAGGGGTGAATGCCTTAACCCTTAATCCCAGCACTTGTGAGGCAGAGACAGGTGGATTTCTGAGTTCCAGGCCAGCCCTAGTCTACAGAGTAAATTTTGGGCCAAACAGGACTAAACAGTGAGATCCTCTCTCAAGCAATCATAACAAAAAACCAAAAAGCCCCACCCCACCCTGGTAACTCCATTAGTTAGGTCCTTTCCTTTTCCCTATCTGTGAGAGAGGTTCAGGAAGGTTCCTGTAGCTCTGCACTGTGCTGAGTGGTAGAGCTGGGCCACCCCAGGCCCTGAAGTGCTTTGCTGCTCATGGATTGAAATTTGCTTTGACATTCTGAAGAGTTGTGGCCTCTGCTCACTCAGGTGGTTTCTTACCCGGGAGTGAGGGTAAGAACATGTGCCCCCACCAGTCTAGGATCCCACTTATCTTTGATATGCTTCTAGCCTGGTGTGTTTTCTGATAGCCATGTAAAAGTTCTAAAATTGAACATATTCATTATTTTATTTGTTAGTTAGTTTTGTAAACATTTACATATGGCATGGTGTGCCCATCACAGTAAACATGTGAGGGTCTGAGGACAGTTTGTGAAAGTGATTCTCTTTGTCCACCATGTGGACTACAGGAGTTAGACTCAGGTCTTCAGGATTGGTGGCAAGCATCTTCACTTGCTGAGCTGTCTTACTGCACCCCTATCCACTTCTTGTTTTTGAGATCCAATTTATAACAGTCCTCCTGCTTCAGACTCCCAAGTGCTAGATTATGATGAGTTACCACCTAGCTGTACATTTTTTCCCCTAGAGACAGGGTTATCTCTGTATTGCTTTGGAGCCTGTCCTGGAACTAGCTCTTATAAACCAGGCTGGCCTTGAACTCACAGAGATCTGCCTGCCTCTGCCTTCCAGGTGCTGGGACTAAAGGCATGCAGCACCAACGCCCAGCTCCTAGCTGAACTTTTATTGTTCATTCTCTGGTACCAGAGAGCGAACCCAGACACAAAGGACATACTCTACTATGGAGCTATATTCTCAGCTCCAGACTCTGAATTAAAATAGGACAGTTCTTGGTAGATTGTTTATTTTTATGTGTATGTTTTATCTACATGTATGTCCCTGTACCACGAGTATGTCAGAAGAGGGTGCTGGATCCCCTCAAACTGGAGTTACAGACAGTCATGATCCATTGTGTGGGTGCTAGGAATTGAACCTGGGTACTCTGATGTACATCCAGTGCTCTTAACCACTGAGCCATCTCTCCAGTTTAGATTTTGTAATTTTTATGTTATCTATCAGTGTGATGGTGAATGGCCTCTGAGTCATGTTTTTATTTAGAAAAGCCACCAAAAGGAGAACTGGTTTCTCTCATGTTCCTGCATCATTAATGGGATAGCTCACCTCTCGGCTGCCCTTGCTGCTGCTATGTGCATTTGGGTCTGTCTCTTATCCCATTGGGTTATCTAGCCACATGTCAGTGTCTCACTCTGAATTTTTGAGGCTCTGACAGATTCTAATACCGAATAGGGCTAAAGCACCCTTGTTGTAATTTTTCCAGTTTTCTTGGCCATTTTTTTATTTGTTTGTTTTATTGCCCCATGACTAGAATTATCTTGTCAAGTTCTGGGTAGGGCAGTGTATGGGAGGACTGTTGGTACCAGGGAGTATGGTGACCCATATTGTATTGATTCAGAAGGGACTGTCATCGTTGTAAAGTGTAAATGTTTATCATATGTGTGTATGCTACATATGGTATGTGAGTGGCGGTCGGAGGACAACTGAAAGGAGTCAGTTCTATCCTTCCACCATGTGGGTTCCAGGAGTGAACTCTGGCTATCAGGCTTGGCTACAAATGTCTTTACCTGCTGAAGCAGCTTGCTGACTGACTGCAAGTTTTCTTAACTTTATTTATTTATTTTTTGAGGCAGTTTCAATCTGTAGCTTAAGCTGTGTTTATATGAGCATATTCATCCCTCCCTCCCTTCCTTTCTTCCTTCCATCGTTCTGTCCTTCCATCCATTTCTTCCTCCCTCCCTCCCTGGCTGGCCTCAGTCTCACTAATTAGCCTAGGTTGGTTTTGTACCCCTAATCCTGTGCCTTCATCTCCTAAGTGCTGGATGATCGCAAGTTGCTTCATTGTTTCTAGAATTCAAGATATATTTCCCTCACTTCTTCCAAATTGCAAAATGTTCCAAAATCTGCCTTTTGGACGAAATATTTCTGATAAGAGATGTAACCTGTAAAGTCCATGCAAATACTCCAAAACTGGAAAGGAATTGAAACCTGTCCTGGCACTCACTCTGTAGACTAGACCAGGCTGGCCTCAAACTCAAACTCATAGAGATCCACCTGCCTCTGCCTCCGGAGTGCCACCAATGCCCTGAAATCTGTAGCATTTTTTGGGAAAGATATGCTTGATTTCTATCTCATTCTGCATCACTGGCTGTCCTGGAACTCACTATGTAGATCAGACTGGCCTAAAACTCACAGAGCTCCTCCTGCCTCTGTGTCCTGAGTGCTGGGATTAATTTTCCTTGTTTGTTACACAGGGTCTTGCTGTGTAGGTAAGGCTGGCCCAAGACCGGCAGTGACCCTGTTGCCACTCCTCTGGAGTGTCTGCCTCTGTGACTTCCTGCTCAGCTCTCTGTTCTCGTTTCTGCATTGTCTGGTCTGTGTTCCACCTATTGGCACAAATCTTACAGGGAGAAATGGATTGTTTCCAGACTGGATTCAAAGCCCTTCCACATATTTAGTATTCTTGATGAGGTTTTAGGGTTCTTTGTGACATGGCTGTCCCACCTTGGCTTGTGCCATCATGTTGGTTTTTGGCAGTCCCCAGATGGGCTAAGCTGTATTTTGTCATTGTTCTGTTATTCTGGCTCCATTGTACAGAACTAAAAAAGGTGAAGATATTTAATAAGTCATTCCCTGGACAGTTAAGGGCCAACTGGTCCCCAGGTATGTCACCCTCTATTTTGTCACGGAGATGACTTATATGGGATATCTGGTGGCCTGGACTAGACTCAAGCCTGGGTATTTATTTCATCATTCTGGTGGTCACTAGTGATATGTCCCAATGGACACCTTATATGGGATATCTGGCTGGCCTGGACTAGACTCAAGCCTGGGTATTTATTTCATCATTCTGGTGGTCACTAGTGATATGTCCCAATGGACACATCACCTATTCTTTTTCCTAAAGATCAGATTGCTCTTAGCATAGTGCCTCATCTCTTCTGTCCTCCAGATCTCTGGCAAAGGGCTGTCCTAACTATCTGATTCCAAGAGTAGAGTAGAGTGGAGTCCAAAATATATAGCACAATTGAGTAAGAAGCAATCGCCTTTTAGAAGAGGGATTCACTAGGGAGAAGAGGCCACGTGAATATCATTTCCTCTCTCAGCTGGGGACCTTCCTGTCCCTCAGAGAACCAGGCACTGCCTTCTGTCTGCTACAGTGGCACATGGTACATGTCACCATCACAGCACAATCTATTTTATGATCTGTGTTTGCAAGGTCCTTGAAGATCTCGGTCTTCTGTAGTTGATGGAACTCACTTGGGGCTTGAGGGCCAAGTGCCTCAGGCCAGCCCTTGTAAATCTTCTGAGAGTTTATCTACTAGTAAGGTTGCCTTCCTGTATGGTTCCAGCTGTGGCCTGGGTCCTTCCTGAGGCCACCCCACTGTGCAATCTTGGTTTCATTACTCTCTCCCTTTGTGAACTGTGGCTTCAGATTATATTCATGGGAGTTTGGCGGTAGCATGACTTGATTCAGATGCTATTTATAAATAGTGATGTAAGGAAACAGTTCTGTGTGTTTGTTTATTAAAGCTTTTTGAGATGGTCTCAAGTGACCCAGCTGGCCTGGAATTCACTGTAGAGCTGAGGATGACCTTGAACTCTTGATCCTCCTGCCTCTACATCCCAAGTACTGGGATTATGGTTGTGTACAGCCACATCCAGCTTTAGTTCTATATATTTATTATTTATATTTAGAGAAACTATATTTTATCCTTGCAGAAAACTTGATGAGTAAAGGAAAACCCGGGAAAGAACTGACTCAATTTTGCTTCTTTCCATGCCTTTCCCTCCCCCTCCTTCTTCCCCTCCTTCCTTCCCCACCCCCTCTCTCTTACCCTCCTACCCTCCTCCTTCACCCTCCTCCTCTTTTTGCAGAAATCCTCGACTTTGCCAGAGTGATTGGTATTGACCCCATCAAGGAACCAGAACTGATGTGGCTGGCGAGGGAGGGTATTGAGGCTCCATTGCCCAAGGGCTGGAAACCATGGTAAGTCATTACAGTAGCTCATTAACTTGTCCTGGACCTGACTCTGGAATTTAGTGGTGTGTGTGTGTGTGTGTGTGTGTGTGTGTGTGTGTGTGTGTGTGTACATGTGTATGTGTGTAGATCTGATGTGTACTGCCATGCCTGTCTTATGTGTATAAATGTTTTATCTGCATATATGTATGGGCTTGGTTCTTGCAGAAGCCTGAAAAGGACATCAGATTCCTGGGAATTATAGTTATAAATGCTGGAAATTAAATCCTGGTCCTCTGCAAGAGCAACAAGAGCTCTTAACTGCTGAGCTGTCTCTCTAGGCCCCCCCTTTTTGTTTTTATTTCTGTTCTTTTAGATTTATTTTTAATTGTGCTGTCTAGTTTTATATCAACTTGACTCAAGCTAGAGTCATCTGAGAGGAAGGGACCTCAATGGGGAAAATGCCACCGTAAGATAGGGCTGTAGGCAAGCCTATAGGGCAGGATTTGTGCAGGTAGGGTCCAGCCCATTGTGGGACTGGTGGTCCTGGGTTCTATTTTCTCTTTTTTTTTTTTCTTCCTACCTTCCTCTCTTCCTTCCTTCCTTTTGTTTTTTCAAGATAGGATTTCTCTGTGTAACAGCTCTGGCTATCCTGGAATTCGCTCTGTAGACTAGGCTGGCCTTAAACTCACAGATTCACCAGATTCATCTGCCTTTGCCTCCTGAGTGATGGGATTAAAGAAGTGCTACCACGTCCTGGCCATGGGTTCTAATTCCTTCCTTCCTTCCTTCCTTCCTTCCTTCCTTCCTTCCTTCCTTCCTTCTTTTTTTTTTTTTTTTGAGACAGGGTTTCTCTGTATTGGGTCCTAATTTCTTATAGTAGGCTGAGTAAGCCATAAGGAGCAAGTCAGTAAGCAGTACCCTCCATTGCCTCTGCTTAGCTCCTGCCTCCAGGTTCCTGCCCTGTTTAAGTGCCTACCTTGGCTTTCCTCAGTAGACTGTGACTTGGGATATGTAACCTCGATAAACCCTTTCCTTCCAGAGTTGCTTTTGGTCTGGTGTTTCGACACAGCAGTAATAACCTTAAGACATTAACTAGGTGTATGTGTGGGGTATATGCATGTTAGTGCAGTTGCTCGTAGAGATCAGGTCAGAAGAGGGTGTTGGAGCCTTTGAAGCTGGAATCATAGAAAAGGTTGTGAGCTGGGAAATGAAATCAGATCCTCTGTAAAAGCAGTATACAATTTTAACCACTGAGCCATATCTCCAGCTCCTTGGCTGTTTGTATGATAGGTACTTTATCTGAGCCATTTCCCCAAGCCCTGGAGATTAGTTTTAATGATCAGGGGCAAGACTGCCATTCTCTGCAGGGTACCTCTTGTTTCAGGACTGAGTAGGCTGACTTGAAGGTCCCTGGGATAGGATCAGAACGTCCCTCTAGACCACAGAGCTGCCACCCTGTCTTGGTCCTTTCACACTGGTGTCTGGGTTGGTTGCACTGAGGAGGAGTCAGAATACTAAAAGCGAAAGCTATGAGATTTGGGGAGATTGCTCAGTGTAGACAGAGTTTTCCTGTCTCTGCAGCTGTTTCCCAAATAACCAACACTGAGACTTAATATTTCTTATAAATGCTTGGCCGTAAATAGCTCAGGCTTGTTAATAGCTAACGCTTACATTTAAATTAACCCATATTTCTTATTCATGCTCTACCATGTGGTACCTTTTCCCGGTACGCATGCTCACTTCTCCCTGCATCTGCTGGCGATTGCTTATTCCGTCCTTTTTCCCATTCTCCTTAGTTTTGTTGCCCTGCCTATGCTTCTTGCCTGGCTAGTAGCCAATCAGCATTTTATTAAACCAATCCGAGTGACAAATCTACAGGGTACAAGAGGATTATTTCACAGCAGCTCAGTCTGTAAAGTGCTTGCTTTGCAATCATGAGGTTCTGAGTTTGGTTCCCAGAACTCATGTGCAAAAAGCTAAGCATGGTGGTATCTCAGCATAAGGAAGTGTAGATAGGCACTTCCTGGGGCTTGCTAGCTAGCTAGTCTTGCCTACTTGATGAGCTCTGGGCCAGTAAGAGACTCTGTCTCAAAAACAAGGTAGATGGCTGTTGAGCAACAATGCCTGTGTTTGTCCACTGGCTACCACATGCATGTTCATAAATGTGCATGAGTATACATATGAGAATGCACTTACACAGAAATAGTGACAGCTTATCTCCTCAGTATGTCTAAAATAGATGCTGAGGCCAAAGGGGTTTGTATCAAGGCCACACAAGTTTGGCAAAAGTTTTCTGTCTCCCTTAGCCATCCTAGAATTTGTGTAGCATATTCTTTTTTCTTTAAATTATTATTGTGTAAACCATATATGTGTATATGTGTGTTTGTGTATAACTTTGTGGATTTGGTATTTCCCTTTCACCTTTACATGGGTTCCAAGATTGTACTAAGATTACCAGATGTCATAGTTAGGGTTTCTCATGCTGTGAAGAGACACCATGACCATAGCAACTTTTACAAAGGAAAACATTTGATTGGGGCTGGCTTAGTTTCAGAGGTTTAGTCAATTATTGTCATGGTGGGAAGCATGGCAGTGTGCAGGCAGACATGGTGCTGGAGAAGGACCTGAGAGTTCTACATCTGGGATCTGCAGATGTAGATATAGAAAGAGAATGTGGCTTGAGCATCTGACACCTCATACCCTGCCCCCCAGTGACACACCTCCTCTAACAATGCTAGACCTACTCCATCAAGGCCTAATAGTGCCACTCCCTGTGAGCCTGGGGTTTCTTTGAAACCCCCAGGGTTTCCACTTCCTGGTCCCCACAGGCTTGTAAAAATGCATCAAGTCCAACTTTAAAAGTCCCTATAGTCTATAAAAGTACAAAGTCTCTTCTGAGATTCATGCAATCGCTTTTTTAAAGGTTTATTTATTTATTATGTATATAATGTTCTGCCTGCATGTATCCCTTTAGGCCAGAAGAGGGCACCAGATCTCATTACAGATGGTTGTGAGCTACCATGTGGTTGCTGGGAATTGAACTCAGGACTTCTGGAAGAGCAAGCAGGCAGTGTGCTCTTAACAGCTGAGCCATCTCTCCAGCCTATCATGTAATCTTTTAACTATAATCCCCTATAAAATCAAAATTAAAAAAAGCAGATCACATACTTTTAACGTGTATGGCACAGGATATACATTACCTTTCTAAAGGGGAAGAAAGGGGACATAATGAGGACCAAAGCAGGACCAAAAACTAGCTGGCAAACTCTAAATTCTGCATTTCCATGTCTGATATCATATCTCCAACTTCTTTTAGTGACTGTAACACACTTCTCTCTCTTGGGCTGGCCCCACTCCCTATTAGCAGCTCTCCTTGTCAGGTAACCCACGGCTCTGGCATCGCCAACATTTGGGGGTCTCCAAGACAATCCAAGCTTCATGAAATGGCTTTTCTAGGCCTTCATACAGGGACACCCTTGACACACTTCTGGCCTCTGGAGCTTCCCTTGGTCATGGAGGGGATTCCATAACCCCTTTCTTCTTCTATCCTTGGCTCTAAACTCAGAACTGCATGGCTGAAGCTGTGAAGTCCTGCTGTTTGCTGGGGCTGAAACATGCCTCCCTTGTTTAATTACATCTTCACCAGCTTTCTGTTTTTGATGGTTTCCTTCTGCTTGTTTTGTAGAGTAGCCTGGCCTTGAATTTAGGGGATCCAGCAGCCTCTGCCTTCTGAGTACTGGGATTAAAGGCGTGCACCACTATACCATTGTGGTCCTAAGCTTTTCTTTAATTCCTTTTTACAAATTGGAAGCTTAGCTGGGTGGAGTCTTGCTCTGAGGTCAGCACTCCCTATATTCCACTTAGCATCAGGCTTTAATCTGGTTACATTTCCTGGTGCCCCTTTATTCTTCAAATTGTACATTTAGTATTTTTCCTTTCTCAGCTTTCTCCTTTTCATTATAAATATATATGAGTGAACACTAGTAACCATAGAACAGAGTCAATACTGGGCTGCTTTGAGACTTCCTCTGCTAATGCAATTAATCCGAAAACTCTTCAGTGTAGCCTTAGGCATTGTTTTGGACAAGGGTAAAAAAGTAGCCACATTCTTAGCCAAAATATCACAAGAATGGTCTCTAGGCCACAAAAAAATATTCTTCTCCTCTGAAACCTCCTGAGCCAGGCCCTCACAATTCAATTCACCCTTGGCATCACTGTCTTCTATGTTTCTCCTAGTATGGTCCATTAAACCCCCTTTAAAGCGTTCAGCTGCCTTGTTAATCCAAAGTCCAAAAGTCTACATTCCTTCAAACAAAAGCATAGTCAGGCCTGTCACAGCAGTACCCCAGTCCCTGGTACCAACTTCTGTCATAGAGTTTGTGTTGCTGCAGAGACACCATGACCATGGCAACTCTTATAAGGGAGACATTTAATTGGGGTTGGCTTACAGTTTCAGAGGTTTAGTCCATTGTCATCAGGGCAGGAAGCATGGTGGCATGCAGGCATACATGGTGCTGGAGAAGGACCTGAGAGTTCTACATTTGGAGCTGTAGATATAGGAAGAGAATGCCACCCTGGGTGTGGCTTGAACATCTGAGATCTCAAATCTTGTCTGCAGTGACACACCTTCACCAACAGTTGTCAGACCTACTCCAGCAAGGCCATACATCCTAATAGTGCCACTCCTTGTGTGAGCCTATAGAGGCATTTTCTTTGAAATCACTGCACCACTGAGCCATCTCTTCTATAGCCTCTTCTGGGCTTCATGCTCATGGGTTCATTTTAAATCCCTTAAAGCTGTCTGGATTGGGAAAGAAGGCAGAAGTTGACAGTGCCCCAGGAGGAGAAGCTGAAAAAGCCAGGGCCAGTGCTGCCCGCTCTCTCCTCCCACGCACAGCATCATCTCCACTCAGGCGACACTGTTCAGTGCTGCATGTCAGCTTTGCCCTCTCTTTACTTCTTCCTCTCTCACCTCATGTGCAGAGCTCATCCAAGTTGTCTTCCTAAAGCTGCGACCTGAGTTTACA